ATGGGGTCAGCTGTGCGCACATACAGCCAGTTCTTAGTTCTCATGACAGCAGTTCTGCTAACACTGAATCAGTGCACACGGCACAGCTGCTCCTGGGAACACACAGTGAAGTCCCGGAGGCCTCGGACACAGGGTGTTCGTAGGTCAATACGTAACCTGGTTGCATATGTGTTTCTGTTTCAAGACACCGTATCGAATGGGTATTTCTTACAAAGAGTGAACTAGAAGCACTGGTTTCCTTCTAATAAAACACTGGCTGAGGAGGGCGTAACCCGCCTGACCCTGGGCAGCAGGACGTACATTCCTGTGGCCTCCAGCTCACAGCGATCCTGCTGGCTACACTTATTTAATCAGTCCTCGTCTTGTGAGCCTACAGATACCGCCAGCACTTTCCCATAGCTTCATCATGCACTTTATTTCTTAAATTTATTATTATTTTTTAACCCTCACCTGAGGATTATGTTTTTATTGATGTGAGAAAGAAACATCGATCGATTGCCTCCTGCACATATCTGGACCAGGGATCGAACCCACAACCTTTTGGTGTACAGGACGATGCCCCAACCAATTGAGCCACCCAGCCTGAACCATCCATCATGCACTTCAGATGTAACCTAAGACTGTCCATTCCAGCCTGAATACAGATCCATGAATCCTCTTCCTTTTCGCGGATGCACCACATTGTTGGTTCGTGAACATTAAATTCACACCAACAGCGAACGGAGGAGCCTATGTAACCACGGGTGTCCTCTGGAAGGCACGCCCAGCCTTCTTCTTTTTTTTTTTTTAAATATTTTATTGGTTTTTTACAGAGAGGAAGGGAGAGAGAGAGTTAGAAACATCGATGAGAGAGATACATCGATCAGCTGCCTCCTGCACACCTCCTACTGGGGATATGCCCGCAACCAAGGTACATGCCCTTGACCGGAATCGAACCTGGGACCTTTCAGTCTGTAGGCCGACACTCTATCCACTGAGCCACACCGGTTTTGGCATCGCCCAGCCTTCTTGCACAACAGGACTCTGGACGGCACCACAGGCCACACGGGGTGGGGGTGGGGGGCAATTCAAACAGTGAAATCGCCAGCGGAAAGCTCACACATGCAGAACACGGCACCACTGCACTGCTGTTCCCAGGCCGAAGGGGGTGAGAGGGCAGAGCGAGGCCTCGTCCAGCCCAGCTGGGAGCACGCCCATCGGCAACTCAGCCTCAGCACCGCGCACGTCGGCAAGAGGCGGGAAGCGACACGCGTCACGATTCGGGTTACAAATGCATCTTAGCAAGTCGGCAGGTTTGCCACACGAGCTCTGCAGGTGACATGACGCGGCCGCCATGAAGCTTCTCATGACAAGCCCTGTAAGCGGTGCATTTTACCCGCGTGACCCCGTACGTTCTCAGGAAGACACCGAGGACAGAAGAGAACGGGCGTGATGCTGTTAGAGCGAACCGTTTGACCCGTGTATCCCACGTGATCCCCATTCATGAGCAACCAGGACATTTTTTAAGTCCACGTTGCGGGAAGAAGCCAAGGATGTGTGTTGCTTGGCAACCAGCAGCTCGGCTCCCCTTACGGGAAGCCAGAGAAACTGCCAGCAACACGCTCACCTGGGCCTCCAGACTCCAGAGCACATTGTCACGGGAGTGAGAAATGGTGGCAATAAAGCTGCGGTTTCCCCCCTCATCACCCTGATCCTGTAACTCAGACGACGGCGTTGGGGACAGGGTGAAAGACGGGGCAGGGGATAGAAGGCTGCAAACAGCAGGTTTAACTCGGTGTCTTTGTGGGAAAATAAAAGGGTTTAAAGAGCTTCTAGGGCAACGGTCAGCACAAACTCAGTCCGCACCTTTGCACCAAGAGTGAGGCCAGAGGAGGGGAACTCGGGTGCAGAGCTGCCATTTCCCAGCCCCACGGCCGGGCTGGGGGAGGGACTTAGAGACTCGGGGCTGGGGGAGGTCCTGGCTGGGGGAGGTCCTGGCTGGGCAGGGCAGCAGCGACGCTGGGGGCAGGAGGACAGCGCCACTCTTCAAACAGCCACGTTCTATCCGCACACATTCCTCCCTCCCACCCTAACCGCACACAGTTTTTCAGAATGACGTTTTGTTGTGGTGGTTAATCCTCACCTGAGGATATATATTCCCCTTGATTTTTAGAGAGCGTGGAAGGGGGGGGGGGGAGAGACAGAGAGAAACATCGGTGTGAGAGACACATCGATTGGTTGCCTCCTGCACGCACCCCACCTGGGGCTGGGGATCGAGCCTGCAACTAAGGTACGTGCCCTTGACCAGAATGCAACATGCGATCCTTCAGTCTGAGGGCCGACGCTCTAACCACTGAGCAAAACCAGCCAGGGCTCAAACCGCAGCCCACGATAAGGAAAGACGCCTTGAGGCTGGAGGTGTCCCCCCTCCCCCGTCACTGTCCCTTCCTGCTGGAGAACACCCAGGCCTCAGGGGTACCAGGCAGTCCTGTGTTCTGCCTGGGGTCTCCCACACGGCAGGATCCAAGGGTGGAGGGAGACCCGTTATCTGCTGAGGCCCCTACAACACTCAACGAACTCACCTCCTTTCTAAAGGGGCAGCCGCTGAGCTGGCAGGCTGCCGTGACATGAGGTCAGGCTGCAATGGTGGCCAGGTAATTCCACAAGAAAGAGGCTATTCCTCTCATGACAGTGTTGAGTCCACTTCTCCAGAAAGGAGGTGGCGGACTTGGAGGGAGAAGGTGGGCAGGTGTAGCCACAGCTCCTGCAGCAGGAACCAGCGCTGGGCTGGGAGCACCAGCGCGGCCCTGCTTCAGCACCACGGACAGCCCCTCTGCCATGGCCTGCTTCTCCCTGGAGAAGCGCATCTCTATGGAGGTCGCCGAGGTTGCCACTTACAACAGACACAGTGCCCTTCAGTACAAACACCGACAAGCAGAGGCCGGCCTCTCCTCTTACGTCACTTCCTAATACACTGAAAGAAAGGAGCTGAGTTAACCCAGAAACTAACTCAGCTCCAGAAGAATTTGCAAGAGGAAAACTCCCGTGGTCAGCAAGACCCGAAGCAGACATAGAAACCGTAACCGTGCGCACACATGCCCAGGTG